AGGTGAGTGGATTGCCTGAGCCTGTGGGTTCGAGACCCGCCTGGGCAACTTGTCGAGACCTCATCTCTACAATAAATCAAAAAATCAGCCAGGCGTGGTAGCGCACGCCTGTAGTTAAAGCTACTTGGAAGGCTCAGGCGGAAGGATCGCTGGAGCCCAGCAGGTCGAGATTGCGGTGACTGGGAGTGGCCCTGCACTCCAGTATGGGCAACAGAGCAAGACTCCAACTCAAAAAAAAAAAAGTGGAGAAATCAGAACTTCACACACTGCCGTAGGACAGTGAAATGGTGCAGCTTTGGAAAACAGTCTGGCAGTTTCTCAAGTCATTAAACATAGTTACTATATGACCCATTAATTCCACTCCTAGGTATATACCCAACAAAAGTGAAGACATGTCCACACAACGTGTGCTCAAATGTTTAAAGCAGCACCATATAATAGGCAAACGGTGGAGACTACCCAGATGCCTACCAGTGGACAAATAGATAAGCAAAATGTGGTATATCCACACAGCTGACCATTTTTATTAAAAATTTTTTTATTTTTAGTCGGAGTCTCACTCTGTCACCCAGGCTGGAGTGCAGTGGCACACTCTGCCACCACAGCCTCAACCTGTTGTGCTCAGGTGTGAGCCACCACACCTGGCACAACTGACCATTTTTAATACCATAAAAATTAATGAAGCTTGGCGTGGTAGCACATGCCTGTAGTTCCAGCTTCTCAGGAGGCTGGGGTGGGAGGACTACTTGAGCCCAGGAGTTCGAGGCTGCAATGAACTATGATTGTGCCATACCGTACTCTAGCATGAACCTTGAAAACATTAAGTTTTCAGGCACAGTGGCTCACACCTGTAATCCCAGCACTTTGGGAGATAGAGGCGAGAGAATTACTTGAGCCCACGGGTTCAAGACCAACCTGGGAAACATGGCAAGACTTCATCTTAACAACAAATAAATTAGCTGGGTGTCGTGGTACATGCCTGTGGTTCCAGCTACTTGGAAGGCTAAAGCAGAAGATTGCCTGAGCACAGCAGGTCAAAGCTGCAGTGGCCATGAGCCTGCCACTGCACTCCAGCCTGGATGACAGTGTGAGACTCCGACTCAAAAAAAGAAAATGTTAAGTGAAAGAAGCCAAACTTGAAGACCACACAACGTATGATTCTATTCACATCAAAGTTCACACAAGGCAATTGTGTGCTCGGGTGAGCTAGGGGCTCAGAGTTTCTCATGGGGTGATGAAAATATCCTGTAACTGACCGTGGTGATGGCTGCATAGCTCTGAATGCACTAAAAACCATGGAACTATACACTTTCAATGGGAGGATCGTATGGCATATGAGTTGGATCTCAATAAAGCTGCTTTTAAAGAAAAGCAAAGCACAGACTCCAGAGCTTCTTCAGATCCCAGCTCTGCCATTCAGAGGCTGTGACTGTGGGCAAGTCCTACAATGGCCCAGAGCCCAAGCAGGGCACATCTTAGCACTCTGCTGGTGCCTGGCCTCCAGCCAGTTCTGTGTGAGCTGGTATTGAATGACTGAATCTCAAATCTAGGTTCAAAGGGACCCAAACTGGGAAGATGAGGGGGTAGCCCAGGCTTGGTTTTTCAGAGGCCTAAAACCCAGGGCAGGATGAGGGCACTGCTAGGGGAAGCCCTATGAACCCTGATTTCTTTTCTTTCCAGAGCAGTTGAAGGCTTCTATGACGTGAGGAGAGAGAATGACACCGACAGGGAGCCCATGCTATTCATGATCAGCACAATGAAATCCATCCTAAAAGAGGTGAGGGGGGGCTCAGGTGATGGTGTCAGGCCCATCTCTTGTCTTGCACTGGGACCCCTGGTTCAGCCCCAGGTCCAACAAGTGACCCCCTGGGAGCTGTCAGGCCTCAGTCCCTGTGGTCAGTCCCTAGGACCTGAGGTCACATGTAATCAGAGCTCAGAAATGGAGACTCTTCAGTGGCAGAACCTTTTATTGTCTTCACATGTCCCCCAGGCCAGGCACAACTCTAGGGCCCCGAACCCAAGCCAATCACCTGGTTGCCCCTCACCACTTCCCTGAACTGCCACAGTGGGTCAGGGATTGGGCTTGTGCTGACTTTGACCCTTTCCTGGGTTCCTGGGAGCACCTGGCATTTTTTATGATCACCACCCACCCACAAACACCCAACTCTGGGGCCTCTGCAGACACCTTGTCATGCTCACAAAAGGTAGCCCATCTGTTGCTGGCTGGCCACCAGGTCAGAGCCAGGACAGGCAGAGCCTTCCTATCATGACATGTCCCCCCAGGGGGAGCAAGTCTGAAAGCTGCTCATTGGCTGGGTGTGGTAGCTCACACCTGTAATCCCAGCACTTTGGGAGGCGGAAGCGAGAGGATTGCCTGAGTCCAGGGGTTCAAGTCCAGCCTGGGCAACATGGCAAGACTTTGTCTCTACAATCAATCAAAAAATTAGCCAGGCTTGGTGGCACACGCCTGTAGTTCCAGCTACTTGGAAGGCTGAGCCCGAAGGATCACCTGAGCCCAACAGGTTGAGGCTGCGGTAGTTGTGATGGTGCCACTGCACCCCAGCCTGAGCAACAGTGAGCTCTGACTCAAAAAAATAAATAAAAGCAAGCTGCTCATGCTTCATCTCTCAAGTGGGCCTCATCTAACTGTCAGAAGCAGTGGCAACCCTGACTGGGGCCCTTCCTCTCCTTGCTGTCCAACTGCACCATTCAGCTGGCCCAGACCCCTGGAGTGGCCTCCAAGTCCTCAGCGTTTGGCTGCCCTTCCAGGGTGCTGTGAACTGACTGAGGCCCAAGGAGCTGAGTGTGGGGGAAGGTGATGACAGGGGACACACCTGGCCAGCCAGGAGGCAGCAGGCTATGGGAGAGCCTGCGGGGCTCCCCCGGCCCAGCTGGCCACGCGTGGGCAGTGCTGCCTCCTCAGGCCACTCCTCACCACACACCTCCTTCCTTCTCCAGAGGTTCCAGTTTGTGGAAGTCCTCGGCAACCACTACGTCCACATGAATGAACCCCACAACGTGGCCAGTATCATCAGCTCCTTTTTACAAAGCAAATACAGGCTTCCTGCCCAGCTGTAGCTCTGGGCTGGGACTACAGAGACCTCATGCTCACCAGACTCGCCTCCTGGACTCTGAGCTCACAAGCCCCACGACGAGACCAGGTGTGGTTGGGATAGGCCTCACTGGTCTTAAGATCATGGGCTGGCAGACATTCCGACTTAACATCTGTGACCCTAAGAGACAGACAGTGCCTGGATTTAGGGGGTTGTCTGTATTGTGGTTAATCGTCTGCAGCAAGCTGGTAGTGACTGGAGGAAGGAGTAGCCGGGATAGGGTTAGGCCTGCTAGGGCCTTTCCCTGCTACCCAACTGGAGAAAAAATAAAATGTTCTTATATTCTCCCTTCTTTGAGGTGGTTTCCCTGCCAGGAGTGGCTTTTCCATTGAGGGGAAGTGGAGAGTAGAGCAGATTAATCTGGTTTCCTTGAGAGTCTAACGGCAGGACACGGGAGGAGCCACTGCCCAAAGGCAACGCCAATGCTAAGCCCCAGAACTGCAAAGCACAAGACCTGAGAGGTGGCACTGTCCTTCACTCCCAGCCCGTATGGACTCAGATGGGACAGGTGGCTCCTGAGCCTGGTCCCCACTCCCAGAGTACAGCCTCCTGGAGACGCACGGCAGGCCCTGCCGCCCCTCGTACTCTCGGCCTGCAGCTCCACACGTCCACCCCTGCTCTCATGGGGGCCACAGCCGGCATGGCTCAGTAGGGTCGGAATTTGCGTTGGGCCCGCATCAGTTCGATCCTCTGCTTGTCCTCCTCGAACTTCTTGCGAAGCTGAGCTAGGTCTGAGGGTGTGAGGAGACACAGGGCAGGTCAAGGGTGGGAGCTGCACCTGCTGTCAATTAGAGGGCACCTGTTCATGCTGCCCACTCCCCCCCAGCTTCTGTGGGGGTGGGGGTATCTCAGCACTGCCTTCCCAACCTAGTCCCTTCCCCAGTTCTACTTTGGGGACACGCCTGTAAGGAAACCACCACTGCAGGGCGAGCCAGAGGGCAAGGCTGAAGTGGGCGATAACAGCACGCCAGAGGCTGTAGGTAGAAAACACACCAGTGAAAAGAGAAGCAGTGAAGAAGAACAATAGCACCCCCCTCGCCCCCATACCCCCGAGAGGAAGGAAGAAGGCTCTGGGGGCTGAGAGACCCCCAGGATTCCTGACTGGAGGGACCCTAGAATTGGTAAAGGGACTCCAACCCCAGTGCCACCAAGTTCAGATGGAGACTCTGGTCACTGAGTGGCCCAGGTCAGAGGGTGTGTGGAAGGCTGATGACATAGGGGCCTGCTGATGAGGCTGATCCTCTAGAGAGAAGGAGGAACAGGAACGAAGAGGGCAGTGAGGCAGGCAAAAATGCCAGTGACAGGTGGCACCAGGATCCTCTCCCGGGCCCGCAGGGACACCAGGAGGCAAGGCAACAAGCTGAGCAGCAGCACAGCCAAAAGCAGGCTGCAGGCAACCGGGTGCTCAGCCACAGGAGTGCACCACACAGGGCAGCTCGATACACACGCAGACGAACACTCAGAGGTGCCCTGTCTGTACCCACAGTGGGTTTGAGACCCACCCTCTGCAATGGGGCGCCTTGCTGGCTGGAGGCTTACAGGTGCCAGCAATACCTGCTCAAGGTCCTGGAGTGGGTCCTGTATCCCAGGGCCCCAACCACTGGGCAAAAGCACCTGCCTCTCGGGGGCAACTGGATACAACCACATGGGAATGCAGCCATACTAGGCCTCTGACCCCAGAGCTTGTTGGGAGGCCTGTGCCTAAAAACGCCCTCCTTCCCTGCTCCCTGGGTCCAGCGTCTGCCCTCTGGAGCACTGGCCACAGGCCACCTCATGCAGAGTGCCAAGGGCAGGGCCCGAGGACTGGGCTTGGGTGCTCTCTTACGCTCCATCTTGGTCTCCCGGTGCTGCCAGGCATAGAAGTTGAGCAGCTCCTTGCGGGCACGTTTCTGTTTCTCTCTCTCCAGCACCCGCAGGCTGGCTGCCTCCGTCCGGGGGAGCACGGGCCGCCGACTGCGGCGGGTCACCTTCACCCAGCCCTCGTCGTCAGGGACCCCTTCCTCCTCCTTGGCCTTAGCCTCCTCCTGCAAGGAACATGACCCTGTTGACGGGCAGGCTCCTTGACAGGAGGGCAAGCTCCAGGGCCCACTTGCAACCTCCAGGAGTGGGCTGCTCCCCCACCGCTCCCCTCCTCCCCACAGCACAGTGTTGAGGCTAAGTACTGGGGAGGAGACAGGCCAATGCTGCCTCCTCCTGCACCCCTCTACAGACCACTCAGAGAACAGATGTCACCCTACCAGGCAGCCCAGGATTCAGCTGGGGAAAAAGAGAGCCTAGACCCTCCAAGGTGGCCAAGGACAGGTTGCCACCGTCTTCAGGCTCCCCTTTGCCACCACAACACAACACCTGGGGCACCACCATCCCATAGCTGATGCGCAGCCATCCCTGGGGAGAGCCCCACCTCAGCTATCTTCTGGTCATACGCCTCCATGAATGAGTCCACTTCAAGCCTCAAGGCCTCAGGATCAGGCACCGAGTCTGCGTAGTCACTGATCCACTCTGAGGGAGAAAGAAGCAAAGGGAAATAGGGCTTCCTTAAGCCTGGCATTCAGGCCCCACCCCAGGACCCGCCAGGTGAGTCGGGATCTTACCCAGGTCCTGGAGACTTGGTGGTAAAGGTGCAGGTAGTAAGGAAGACTCTAGTGGCAGCAAACTGGGCCCCACCTCTGCCCGCCCAATATGCCAGTGTCACTTTGTACCCAAGGCTCAGGCTAACATTTCCCCCATGAGTCCCAGACACAGCCCAGAAGCCTGCCTGCTCAGGCCTTCCAAACACTGCTCTCAGGGAGAGCAGATACAGCTCATGACATTTGTCCCCTCTAGGGGAGAGTGCCAACCCAGAGCTTCCTGTCAACCCAGGGCCCAGGAAGGAGGCGCCAGATACAACGGCAGTACTGACTGTGAACGCCACTTTTCACAGGGTGACTCTCTGTAGAGACCAGCAAAGGGCCTTTCAGGGTCAAAGCAGCTAACACTCCACCCGGCTTCTGAAACACCACGTAGGCTACCTGGAACCCCTGCGGAGAGAGAGAGATGCCAGAAAGCGTTGGGTACCTTCCACATGCTTGGCACCAAGTCTCCACACCTGCCCTCAGCCTAACTGGTTGCTGGACCAGGGGAGGCAGTGCTGGACTGCTCCTGAACCACGAAGATAACCAGAGGTCATCTCATAATCCAGGTGAGGGATTACACTCCAAGTTATCCAACTTCGGCTGGAAGTGACACCTGTCTGCAGTTCTTTCCCAGGAAGAGGGGACACACAGGGGCTTTTCTTCTAGTTATGGGGGGGATACAGGGGAAAGTTGGGCTCACCCTGGGGTGGGGCAATTTCATGGAAGCCAGGCCTGGAGTGGATGGACAGATGGGACACACATACTAGGTCAGATGCCACTGGGCTGAGAGGAGGGGTGGGCTGTCACGCTGACAGTCTCCTAAACCACACAGCGAGGATTGGCCCAGGACTGCAGGGAATGCTCTAGAAATCCCACTGCCAACCCTCTCTCACACACTGGGGACACTGCCCTAGGCGCTCCCTCCCAACCTTCTCCAGTGGAACCCAGGGCTTGGAGACTCACCAGAACAGGGTTGGGGTGAAAAAACTTCGATTTTGGCTCTTTTGAGCTCTCAGCAAGGTCCGGTTTCTCCTGTAATTCCACAGACTGGATGGGGCCACAGGGGGACAGGAGGCGGGACAGACACTCCTGCCATGACCAAGGGAAGCAAAGTATAAGTGTTTGCAGGGCCAGAGCCTCCCTCTGTCCTGGGTGGCGCTGCAAGGGGCCTAGAGCCCCTGAAGGACTCAGAGCTGTATGTGCCAAACCCAGAGAACCTGGGGGAATCACATCCACTCATCTGTTCCCTCATGGAAAACCTGGAGGCTGACATGCCCGCCCTCTCTAATACAAGACAGGTGGAGACATTCTTGGTGTTATTCTGATTTTTTTTTTTCTTGAGTTGGAGTCTCACTCTGTCACCCAGACCGGAGTGCAGTGGCCGCTCCCGGCCACCGCAGCCTCGACCTGCTGGGCTCTGGCGATCCTTCCGCCTCAGCCTTCCGAGTAGCCGGAATTACAGGCGCGTACTACCACGCCCGGCTAATTTTTTGATTTATTGTAGAGATGAGGTCTCGCCTGCCCAGGCAGGTCTCGAACCCGCAGGCTCAGGCAATCCACTCACCTCAGCCTCCCAAAGGTGCGGGATTACAGGCTGAGTCACCAAGTCCGGCTGTTATTCTGATTTTAAATGACAACTTAGTTTTGCTCCCTGAATCAGAAATAGTTACATCCATGCTGTTGGAATCAGGATGGCAGTTATCCATGGTGGGTAGGGAGACAGGAGGGAATTTCTGAGGTGCCCTGCTGTTTCTCCATCAGGGTATTGACCACACAACTATGCTCAGTCTGTGGAATGCACCAAGCTGAACACCTACTACTAGGCCCTCCTCTACACGTGCTCCAGTTCAATAAGGATTAGAAATGACATCGTCAGGCAGGGCGCAGTGGCTCATGCCTATAATCCCAGCAATTTGGGAGGCTGAGGTGAAAGGACTGCCTGAGCCCACAGGTTTGAGACCAGCCTGGGCAACTTGGTTAGACCCCATCTCTACAATAAATCAAAAAATTAGTCGGGCTTGGTGGAGTATGCCTGTGGTTTCAGCTACTCGAAAGGATCGCCTGAGACCAACAGGTTGAGGCTGTGAGGGCTGTGAGCATGCCACTGCACTCCAGCCTAGGCGAGAGAATAAGACTCTGACTCAAAAAAAAAAAAAGTGACTTCCTCTCTTCTGAACACTTCTTTCTCTTTAACTTTAGAGGAAACTTTTAGAAACCAGGATTTCCTTTTTGGGGAAAAAAAAACCTTCATTTAAAAACTAGCAATTCCCATGCCGGGCTCGGTGGCTAAGCCTGTAATCCCGCGCCTTTGGGAGGCTGAGGTGAGTGTATTGCCTGAGCCCGTAAGTTCAAGACCTGCCTGGGCAGGCGAGACCTCATCTCTACAATAAAATTTTAAAAAAATTAGCCGGGCGTGCTAGTGCGCACCTGTAATTCTGGCTACTCGGAAGGCTGAGGCGGAAGGATCGCCGGAGCCCAGCAGGCAAGGCTGCAGTGGCCGGGAGCGGCCACTGCACTCCAGTCTGGGCGACCGAGTGAGACTCCAACTCAAAATAAATAAATAAATAAATAAATAAATAAAAACTAGCAATTCCCTTAGTTTCTCTTCTGTAAATTTACATAATACTAAATTTAATCGTTTTGTGAAAAATTAACAGATGTGTCTGCACAATAGAATTAGAGGCTATTTTTTTTTTTTGAGTTGGAGTCTCACTCTGCCACCCAGGCTGGAGTGCAGTGGCACACTCATGACTACCCCACCACTGACCTGCTGGGTGCTGGCAATACTTCTGCCTCAGTCTTCCGTAGCCAGAACTACAGGTGTGCGCTACCATACCTGGATAATTTTTCGATTTATTGTAGAGACAAGGTCTTGCCAAGTTGCCCAGGCAGGTCTCAAACCCGCGGGCTCAGGCAATCCACTCACCTCAGTCTCCCAAAGTGCTGGGACTACAGGCTGAGCCACCAAGTCCAACTGTAGAGGCTATTTTTCTTTTTTTTTTTTTTTATTGGAGTCTCACTCTGTCACCCAGGACGGGGCGCCATGGCACGCTCACGGTCACCCCAGCGTCGACCTGCCAGGCTCCAGCAATCCTTCTGCCTCAAACTTCCAAGTAGACAGAACTACAGGCACATGCTACCACACCCGGCTAATTTTTTTTTTAATTTTAAATTTATTGTAGAGATGAGGTCTCACCAAGTTGCCTGGACTGGTCTCAAACTTTCAGGCTCAGACAATCCATTTGCCTCAGCCTCCCAAAGTGCTGGGATTACAGGCTGAGCCACTGAGCCCAAACTATTTTTATTTTCTTATACTTTTCCTATTTTTATTTTATTTTTTTAGTTGGAGTCTCACTCTGTTGCCCAAACTGGAGTGCAGTGGCATGCTCACGGCCACTGCAGCCTCAACCTGCTGGGTTCAGGTGATCCTTCTGCTTCAGACTTCCAAGTAGCTGGAACTATAG